CTCTTATTCGACAGAGGAGGAGCACAAAGAGAATATTTTCCCTTCCCACGCGGCTCCGCCGCCGTCAAATCCACTTTTCCTTCACATTTCCTCTTAAAAAAGGGTGTAAAGGAATGGGGCTGAAATTAGGCCTTTATATTACTATTATAAAACTTTAATAAATACTTTGCTATGTAGAATATCAGCAATCACAACATATTTTCCATTAATTATCATATTAATGTTATAAATGCAAAAGTTTAGATGGATGTATGGATGTTTGTTAGAGTTTAAGAATGGCTGTACGGATGTCGATGAAATTTTGCATAGATGTACATGATAGTCTGGAAGAACACACAGGCTAAATACTTTTGTTTTTTGTTTTATTCGGGACGGACTCGCGGGCGAAAGCTAGTTGTTAATAAAACTAACATGTTCAAAAGCTAACAATAAAATTAACTGTATTTTAATGTATTTTAGAACAATGGTGGTATTAGAGCCTTTAAAAATAACGATAACCAATTACTCCGGGAATGGGCCGATAGTGTACACGGTGCCTGACTTCCCCACGGAGCCGGAGAGGGGATCTCACAAAGTGGTGTTCAATAAAGTTCTATATATAGAGTACAGCGACTTCAAGGAGCAACCAGAAAAGGGCTACCGAAGACTAACGCCCACTCAGTGTGTAGGCTTGAGACACTCTGATTTCGTTATTAAGGTATAAACATATATACAGTTTTGTTTTCTATTTTGTGTATATTTAATTATATAAATACTATTTTATGTATCCATATTTAGGTTTCCAAAGTAATAAAAGATGAAAGTGGTAAAGTAATTGAGGTGGAATGTGAGGCAGAAAATGTGACATCTGCGGAGAAACCGAAAGCTTTCATACATTGGGTAGCGGACCCTATAGCTATTGAAGCGAGACTTTATGAACCTTTGTAAGTACTTTATAAGGATTAATTTATTGAATTAAAAATGTGTAATATGACCACAAATTAATTAGTTATGGCGACTTTTGAAACTGAAAAAAAATACTATTAATAATTTTTTTGTTTTGCATTGAAACATTGATCATTGTCTAATTAGTCTAACCTGAAACAGTTAAATTTTATTTAATTCAAACTGAAATTTATGACATAAAAAGATTAACATACTTCTTAATAATATTATAAATGCAATTGTTAAGATAGATGTTTTTAACTATGTATGTCTGGTTTGGTACATTTTTGAAATTTAAGTAACTTTAAAAGTTGCGTAATTTAAGTATTTTCCGACGCGGATAGAGTCGCGGGCGATTACAAGTGGAACTTTATTTTATGACTAAAAATGTAATTATGTAATATATTTTAAGATTTAAACATAAAAACCCCGAGGACACGAGCGAAGTGCCGGCAGGTTTTCTGTCCGACTGTCGCGAGGATACGTTGAAGGTGGTGACGGCGCTCGCAGACCAGTCGCTGGCTGGGGCCAGGGTGTATGACAACTTCCAGTTTGAAAGGATCGGCTTTTTCTCTATCGATCCTGATACCACCACTGATAAGGTATACTTCATTAATGAAACATACTAAAAAGTCTGGTTGTATATCTATATATGTCTATTTATTTCTTACTAATATTATTAATATAAATGTTTGAAGGGGTGAATATTTGTTAGAAGGTAACGCCTAAACGGATGAACGCAACTACATCAAATTTGGCATCTACTTTATTTTTTTTTAAGTAAATTATTATAATATCATGAGTTACAGTTTTTCTTTTCTTAAGAGCAAGATGTGTTTCTTGTTTAGATGTTTCTATGAAACTAAATAAAATTAACATTTTATTTGTATTTTCAGATGGTTTTCAACAGAACTGTATCTCTTAAAGAAGATACTGGGAAATAAAAGCATATTTAGGTACCATTTTTAAACTGTTTGTACACATTTTATATACATATATTTATGAAATTAAAAATAAAGAACATTTATCTAATAACTATTTTTCTTATCTTTACCACACGCACATATTTTATATCCAGGACCAATTTTAGCCCTACCGGCGCCCTGGGCGAGATATTTAGCGCACGCCCTCCTTTTTTAGCACTGGGAGGTTAAGTGTAACTATAATTAACAAACCTTTGGCACCCCTACTAGTACAGCGCCCTGCGCAGTCGCCCTACCCTAACACCCTCCTTCCCTATAATTTTATGTTCTTCACAAAAGTGATCTTCAAGAATTTTCGCAGAGCTTTCTCTAGGAAAATAAGAAGGAACATACGAAACTGTCAGCTACACGTATCTAATTAAATAGATTCTGGAGAAAGATAAACGAATTTTTGGACCTTGGCAAATGATTTCGACACCAAACCAAATAAGAGCTTTTCATATCGGTTTTAGAGTTAATTATTAGTTAACTGTCCTTTCCGATTTGATTTAAAAAAAATATAAAAATGTGAATAAATAGTCCATCAAGTATTATTTAGATATCTCGTAGTCTAAAATATTTCTTTAAAATTGTTCAGTTCTCCTAAAACATGCCTTATGTTTACAATTAAAGTTAATACCTATATTTGTTTTTGCAACTACAATTTCAAGGTATAAAATAATGTCTTAGAAATCATTAATTTTATAGTATTCATAAAATTGCGTAGTAAAACTACGTCGTTGAAGTGCGTATATTTTAATGAACTTAACGTACTAATATATGTTAATAAATTCCTTAATGCAACCTACTTATGGAATTAGAATCGAGCCTGATACTATCTGAGTGTAGTACTACGTTATGCGCGGTTCACACGTGGCTAGTACAGTAAGTCAGTTGCGCTGTATAACTGGACTGATATACAATCGGCATAATGTGAACACTGACTGGCGCCAGTGACTCACTATAAAGTATGACTGGTAGCGCAACTGTCCAACTGTACTGACTGAGTGTGAACCGAGCATTATGTATGTGGTAGGTAACGCGTCTGCGCGTGTTATCGAGCGTGGGCGGGCGCGCATGGCCATTGAGCCTCCTATGTCACTCTGTCACTCCGATGAACACGCTCCCGTGATACAGCCCGCAACCGTATATAGTGCAACTTGCTTAGATTCCACAATGCCAGCTACGTCAATATAAAAGTGAGTATTGCCTTTTATCCAAGCTTAAGTTCGTCATTTTTCGTTTTCATTAAACTACGTCATATTGATTTGACGCTAATATTTTTTTAATAGTTGACAAAGTTTTTTTTCAGCATTTTTTTTATATCTCTTAATTATTTTCTGCGTAGTTTTGATAGTTTTAGTTTAGATTAGGGCTAACGTGGCAGCCACAACCTGAATATCCATTAACCTTGACCGGTATTGTTTCTTAAGGCCATGCACTCAATGAGTACGTTTTATATTTCAATCATAAATAGCTTTTGATTCTCATATTCATACTACTTATTAATTTAATATTTTGCTATAATTCTTATCGCATTATTTTGCTACTTTTTAAACGAAGCTATTCTTACTGAAGATGTACCATATATTCTTAACATTGTATTATGTAATAATTTCGAATAATATTTTTAATCTACATATTCGTAGATTATTTATTAGTACTGGCTATTGTGCAATATTAGCTAAATCTAATAAGAAATGTTATAGGTTTACGAGTACTCAAAGTTGGTTGGTTGGTTGTTTAGCTGAACACTTAATATTGGGGTTGATGATCTAGTTACAGTTGTGATAAATTGATGATAGTTGTTCAAATAAAGTTAGCTGGGGACCGATTATTGTAGCAAATAAGGGAGGCCAACGGCCAGTGGGCGGCAATATGTCGAGTGGATGGATGGATGGAACATAAAAGCTGCTTCCATTAAGGCGTTTTCTATGACGTACATATTGACGCTAATTATTAAATTGCGTAAGTTGAAGTTTTCAAACTTTAGGAAATTCTAACTGAAACTTTTATAATTTAAAACTTAAGTCGAATTTGTTTTGATTATATAAGTCGAAACATTTCTTAGAATTCGTAGCTTTTAAGGTATGGCGGTTATTTTAGATACTTGTATGTTGAAATTATTAATCATTTCCGTAATTAATATTCAATATTAAATACAATAACTAATTTGGCGTTTATTGTTTTTTTCTTGTCTTTTTCTGTACAATCAGCATTTTTGTACGTTATCCGAAACCCTTAAAACTCGGTTAATGTTTTAGACTACTAACGATTGATTTACTGATCTAATCATTCCTCTTGTCAGTTAATTATTATTTAGGGCCCCTTAAAAAAATCATACTTTTCATAGTGAATATTTTACAACTGAGTGCTGTAATTGTTACATATGCATTTTGTTTAGTAACCGAAGGTTACTAATAAGATATTCGCAAAACGCACTTCCAGTTCAATGTTATCTCACGTTATCTGAGTGTGACGGTGCCGGTGTGGGCTCCCGCAGCGTGTTGCTGATTAACTAACTGGAACACGATTTGCATATCGTGCTAACGGAGGCCTTTTGCCGACCCTACTCTACCCATAAATAACACTGACATTTGTACAAATGAAAAAGAGAAATGTTGCCGTATTGTATTTATGTATCTTATTCTTACTAATATTTTAAATGGGAAAGTTTAGATTGATAGATGTTTGTTAGATTTTGTAGCCTAAACGGATCTGCATGTAATTTGGCATAGATATAGAGCATAGTCTAAAAGCACCAATAGGCTATTTAACCATATTTTTAACGCGCAGACAGAGTCGCGTGCGTCATCTAGTTTATTATAAATGGGAAAGCTTATAAGGATGGATATTTGTTAGAATTTGTAGCCTAAACGTCTTACGGGATATGGAAGAAATTTGATTTCGATAGTAGAGTAGTCTGGAAGAACAAATACGCTTCTTACTTATTTTTTAATACCACGTGGACCAAGTCGCGGGTGAAAGCTAGTTAGCTATATTTGGATTAAGATTTAACAACGTTAGCTATTTTTCATTACTATTGTATTAACAAATACCGAGACGAGAAATGTAAAGCTTTTATAAAGCTCTGAATTGAGATTAAATTTTGTTAAGCGAAAGATTTACATTGCTAATTTCATTAGATTGTTGTTCGTAGGTACTCGATTACGTTTACGTTTTTGAATATAATTCCTATAATAAACGTCATTGTGAGTTGGGCTGATTTCGACGCCTACAGATTGATAAATAATAAAGCGTAGGCAGTTAAAATGTTTTATGGCTTAATAAACCTGAAAGTAATAAGTACTGCGCTATTTGTAAGCTGATACAGATAATAAAGTCATTGAGAAATGAAAAAGTCAAGTTCATAAAAATTTAATTCTGTATCAAAATTTTCCTTATTCACAGTACAGCAATGTTTAAATATGTTAAACTAGCTTTCGCCCGAGACTCCGTCCGCTTGGAATTAAAAAAAAATTGACTAGCCTATGTGTTCTTCCAGACTACCCTCTACATCTATTCCAAATTTAATCGAGATCCGTTCAGCCGTTTAGGCTACAAACTCTAACAAACATCCATCCATCCATCTATACTTTCGCATTTATAATGTTAGTGAGATTGAAAGAAACATTGAAAAATGTTAATCAGAATAGGTATAGTTCTTCGTTTCTTTTTCCAATAATCCAGGGATCTTTAATGTTATTGATTTACTAGATTTCTCATATTAGGCTAGTTACAAATTTAATCATTTTCGGAAATTGTAGTAGCATTAATTTATACTTTGTAATAAAAGTCAATCGAAAGGAGCGCTTTAAAAACGATTTTGACATGATGAAAAGAAAAGGGGAACGGAAATTAATTTCACTAAAGTGGGCTTTAAAACCTTTTAAGATACAATTTCGTTCGCTGTTCGTTTAATATCGTGGTTAATCTCCTCAAAGCAATATTATACAGTATATTTTATAGATTATAAGCAAGTAAAAGGGAGCGTCGGTGGCTCAGTGGTTTGAACACTTGACTTGTAATCTACAGGTCTTGGGTTCGAATCCCGCCATGTACCAATGTGATTTTTGATTTTTCGAATTTCATATGTACATAATTTACCCGACGTTCTTACGGTGAAGGAAAACATCGTGATGCAACCTGCACCTATCGGCGAAGAAATTCAAAGATATGTGTGAAGTCAACCAACCCGCACTTGGCCAGCGTGGTTGACTATGGCCTAGTCACCCCGTATTAGGGTAGGCTCCGAGCCCCTCGGTGGGGACATATAGTGAGCTGGTGATGATGAAGCAAGTAAAAAATGACATAGAACTTTTTATTAAAAGAATTGATAAATAGAATATTTTGCTACATATTTCACGTCTTACGGCTTTTCTATCGTATACCGCAATATGTTACGACTTGTGAGTAGATTGTGCTATCTAACATTCTGCAAACGTAACAATAGGAAAAAGGGCACAATGAATTCTTGATATGTAAGGACATATTTTATTGTAGACATTTTTCTTTTGTTATCCCACGGATAGGAGAGGAGGGTTGTGTCATCGAGGTCATGTACTTTTGTAGTAAGTGTGTCCATTTAAAACTAATTAAAACACATTGGTATATGGCGGGGAACGAATCTGGACGTATAGATTTTGCATCTAGCCAGGTCAAGCGCTTAATAACTGCACTATCGACTTTTTATTGAACGTGTTTCTTTATATTGCGATCAATTATTAATCCCGGTACCATGGAAGTCGCACTTGAGGTTGCTCAACTTCCATGGTAGATTTCTAAGCACCAACGCCAATCAAGTGACCAACGCCACTGAGTTGATTAGTGAGTAGAAATCTCACATAACCCTGTCTGTCTGCCAAAAGGCAGAGTATCACTTGAGGATTAAGGGCCTGTCCCACTAAATTGTAAATAATCTGATAACAATCAAAAGTGTAAAATAAGTGATGGAAATATCGGATTTCAGATAGTGTCGTAATTTTTAAGCTATCTGCGCCTCTATCAGCCAGAGGAGGGACAGGCCCTTACAAAAAAGTATCTGATAATACAAAAAGTGTTGGAACACATTCAACTAAATCTAGAGCCGTTTTCTAGAAATTCCATCAATTAGTAAATCAATGAATATTAATCAGTTTCGATAGAATACCAGCAGTAAATATTTATATTTTCCCATGAAACCAAGTTCATTAACATGCCCTCTGAATAACGTAGCGTTTGCTATTTCAGTAAATAAGGCATATGGGACTGACTCTACACATTTATTGTCTAATCTTTTCCTTCACATTTGTACTATGACTAAGCGTAACAAATTAACCACCAGACGCGAGCATCATTACTTTATGTCAATTTGTTCAGACGTCACTCCAGGGATCTACTGAAATATTGCGTTAGTGTTTCTACTTGATTAGGGTTCTTTGCACACGAATTAGGACAACTTATTGTTTCGCGTGGGCGAGTTGTTTGTTCTTAAGAAACAGTCTAAATTAATTATTGTTTCACTGTAAGGACAACACTGGCAAATAAATAACATGTGCTAGAATCAAATAAAACAAGTTCTAGTTTAAATAAATGTTTTGATACACTGTAAACATCACGGTCCAGTTAGAAAAGGCTGATTGTATTGCGGTAGATTATTTCCCACGAGACAAATGTATCGCCAAATAAATATTCTGCAATAAAAAGTCCGTTAGTATTGTTACCTGAATTTTTATTTTTATAAGAAAGAAACACAAACACTTACCAGTTATAAAGTCATTCACTGTATTTATTTCTGGAATTTTTGTAATTTCATTATCTCTAACTAATGTGGGCGTCCACTTTATTAAGATCGCACTTTCTTTAGTGGGCAGTATTTTCCTTATATTTTCAGTGTACCAAACTTAACAACTAGAACTAGAACGACGTTAAACTCAACTAGAACAACGTTACAAACAAAATGGGGTCTCCAACAACAAAAGTACACTTTACTTGATCTCGCGTCACCTAGTCTTGGCCTTGGTCTGTCGTAGGCTTTTCGTAGAGATACCTACGACGGCCGATTGGTCATTCAACAGACTCAATTTAACTTTTCTATTAGAAAAAAATCAAATGTAAACGTCATTGAATATATACTATTACAAACTTTCTACATATCGTTCTTCTTCGTATTGTAAGCGGATTTTATTTAGATTCAAATTGTTTTTTTTTCTCGCCCACGCTCTTGACGATACTGCAGATAACGTAGCATGACGTCCGCAGATGGAGATATACAGGGAAGCTTTAAATGTCAATTACAGTGAGATTGCATCATTCCTAACCAGATTATACATCCTATTATAACGTTTTATTTAAAGAAAAAAACATAAGTTAATGTAGAAAAAATCGGTTAGTGTATAGGTTATAGATAAATACTATGCTACCTTATAAACAAGCTAAAATCACCCCTTTATAACTATACCTAGGAAGGCTGAGGGTATGAAATGTTGAGGCTAAATAACTCTTTAATTTTTGATTGAAAGAAAAAACACCCTATATTAAAACATTTACGACGCCTCGACTAATAAATCATGCAATAAATGTCTTTATTAAAGTTAGCAAAACATAAAACTAGAAAAGCCATTTCGGTTTGTACCTTTTAACGATAGCACTTCCAGTTTTATGTGAAGTCTAAGCCATACGTCGTTTTATGGTCAATAAAAGTATTAAGGCTCCCAGCTTCAGCGCGGTTTGTACAGGATGCTAGTGTATTAATTAGGTCAAGGCGAAATGGGTCAAGGACCCAGGAGTGTTGGTATATCGTACTAACACGAAACGGTTGCTCCTCGCCGCTTTAATACAATTAAACCTCGGGAAAATTGTTTAGAAGGTTGATGAGGGGTAAATGCTTGGTGTGGGTAAATTTCATTTAGTTAATTAAATTAATGCATGTCCACAAGTCCCGAGGCTCTGCGCACATGCGGCATCTTATGTGATTACCGTGTTTTCTCTTTACTTCTAAATCTTTCCAGGTACATCAAAAGAAGATAATTATGAAAATCCATTATAATTTAAATAATGGGTACAAGTGGTCTTAGGATCAGTGGGTGTAGAACTGAGGGTACATTGAGAATATGGACGTCCAAAAGCAGCAACTGTGTCCCCGGCTGGTGGATTATCTAACTATAGTGGGCGCGAGACCGTATACATCCGGCAAGGGTTTAGCTCCTGTACAGGTACGTGATAGTTTTACATTATTTCTCAGATTTCCATACATAAAATACTTCTGTTGTTTTTCGTTGAGCCGATCGACGCAATGGTTTTTATTTCAATACTTCTAATTATTCTCTTCTTATTTATAGAATCATAGTTAACTTTTCTCGCCAGGCTCCGGAGCTGCTGCGTCGATATCCACTGACCAATCACGATGACTTCCCCTTGCCGCTGGATATGGTGTACTTCTGCCAGCCGGAGGGTTGCGTGTCGGTGGGGCCGCGCCGTCAGCTCGCTCACCTCGCCACACGCGATACAACCTCCTTCGTCTTTACGCTCACAGATAAGGATTCCGGTACGAATGAAATAAGCAATCGTTTAAAAACTTAGCCCAACAAATTGAGACCTTTGATACTTAGTGCAAGAATACCAATCAAATACTCGCTTCTCGCTTAATCATCAAAATTGATTTAACTGCTTGGGTTTATAGTACAATGGAACGGTCATAAACATAGACAAAAACAGATTTAAAATGCTAGTTTGCTTTATAAAGGAACCAAACATAGAACTAAAATATTTAACATGGTGTTTTCCAATATTTCTCATAATATAGCATTTTCAAGATGTATGTCGTTCGCAGGAACCGAAGTTATTGATCGGGGTTTTTCAATTACTCGCCTCTTGTCATTTCCTCGCCACACAACGGCGTAATGGTATTACACATCCATCACTGGCTTGGCATTTTTGTTTGATAGTATAAGTATGTTTTCCTCAATATTCAGAAACTAGGTTAACTAGATTCTCTTAAAACTTTTCTTAAGAATATTGTAATTTTTTATAACGTGTCATAGAAGAATATTAGATAATTAAGTAGAGGGTACGTGTTACTTATTCGTATATTCAGAGTTCTTATCACCAAATTAAAATTAATTTCAACTACTTTATTAATAACTATAATATTCATAAATATAACATAAGTTGTTGAATATAAAAAGAACGATTACTGAAGTGTGCTATCAATATTACTAGAGACAGAATATGTGGGCGGTTTGCTACCGTTCTGTTTATTTTGATGTACTGTGTGCTATAAATAATAATGTGTCACTTCAGTTGTGAAACTTGGCTAAGAAACTGCGAAAGTGGGTCAAGATCACACCTTAAGGTTCTGTGCTCCAAAATCCGCAAATCGTGACATTTTGATAGCAGGTAGAACTGTCTCCATATTAATTTTAGTATCTAAAGACTAGTAATAAACTAACCATATAGTTTATGGTGGGTAGTTTGGGATAACTATAGTTCTTACGGTACATACACATTAGTCAGTTGTATTGTCATTGTTAACGGTATGTTTTCACTGTTTTAATTGAATGAACATTTTAACTTATATTTTATCAGTGGAAACTCATTGGTAAAATAACATGTTATCAGGTAAGACGCGTTATGGCGTATGCGTTAACTTCTACCGCGCGATGGAGCGCGCGCCGGCGCCGGGCCCTCGCGAGCGCTCCGTGCTGCGCCGCGACTCCTGGCGGAAGTCCATGGAGAAGAGCTCAGATTCCGCGTTCTCCAGGTGACACCAACACACCTGGCAACTGCATGTTTAATAGTTTAACAAGGGTAAAGACCCGACTAGGTTTGAGTAATCTTGATCATGACGTCTTTATTGGGTTTTTGTTTGTGCATTGAGTAATATGTGGCGAATGTTCCAGTGACTATAGGAGCAGCAACGTCGCGCCGAGCGACTCGGAGCGCGACTGCAGCGCCACGTTAGCACCGCGTGCTACTCCTGCGGCCCCGGCTGACTCGGAGAGCGGCGGCTCGCACTCCCCGAGTCCACGCGCCACGCGGAAACGCCAAGTATACCTTCACTAATTCTCCTTCGATTAGAGATTCAAATCGTATTTAAGAAACTAATAAAATGTTTGTTTGCAGCGAATCCGCAATCACTCCCTCACCTCATTATGCCTTTTATCACATCATCCTTTCTTTTCCACATTCCGAGAGTGCCTGTTTATCCTTAAAAAGTTAATAGATGCCTGCAACGAGTCTTCCAGTCCGCGGCGTGTCGGCGCCTCCAGACAGATATTTAGGTAAAACTAAAATTTTGATTAACCAAGGCTGTTTAATTTTATAGACCACATG